GACATCCTTTTCAAAAACCGCATCATGATTTTCTAAAAAACGAGGCAATATTCGGTTATCGAGCACAATAGTTGATCTCCCGTGTTTATGCTAGGGAGCGAATACTATCGGCTCTAATTAACGAATACTCTTATCAACTTTGCATCTGTAATAATTTTTAAATTAAGTAACGTTCGAACTCAAAACTTTCGATTTTAAATATAGGGTAATCAACTATGTTCCAAATTTTAGGCGCTTGTAGGGGTGCTAATCCTTCCCCACGCGTAACCGACTCTTGAACCCCTGAATTTTCGCAGTCCTTAACACTTGGTATTTTTATAAAAATAAAATGTTTTATTAAAATCACCCGGTTTTTATGGTGTCCCAATCGCACCTTAAATGATTGGTGGCAACTCCTCACATTTCGAAAATTTCTTTTCAAAGAGAAAACCTCCGAGTTGGTATCAGTCTTTTCCCGCTGGGCGAAAAACGGTGTCAACAATGGTAAATTGACATCGGTAAAAAAAAGTATCTTATATTCATACGATGAGTAAAAATTATTTTATATAAAAAATTATCCTCTTGACTGAGTAATAATAATAATTAATATTTATATTATATTATATTATATATGATGTAATTCTTAAATATATAATTTTTAATTATTTTATTTAAAGATTGTATGAAAATATAAAAAGAAAAAAAATGCCATTATATTAATATCTTTATTAACATTTAAATATTTTTTAATATTTTTTAATTGAATTGTTTTCCGATTAATTGATAACATGGACTCAATATGATTTTTAAACAATAAAAATAAATTAATCAATCAAACGAATATATTTAAAAGATTTACATTAATTATTTTATAAAAAATAAAATGTTTGTTAAATAGTTTGGTAGTTTCTTTATATAGGCATAAACATGATTGGGAATTTTTTTTTTTTTTGAAAAATAAAAAGTTAGTGATATATTGTTTAACCTTATAAGACAAGATAGCTATATGGTCGGTGGGAAGTGCACAAAAAAATTAATAATTTATACCTATTTAATTATGATTTGAAAGCACGAATTAAGTTACTTATGTGTTAAAGGAGTTGTTATTCCTTTAGGTAATGAGTTCGAGTATTAGAAATTCCAAGAGTGTGAGCATTCAATGTCAAATGATTGAGAATTATCTTTTAAACAAATATTATCTTGTATTGGCGACACCGAGGCATTCCCAGTGGAAATCGGACTCCACCAGGGGTCGGCTCTTAGCCCTTACATCTTTGCCTTGATTATGGACGACATCTATTGTGCGACATCAGACCGTCTTCCATGGTGTATGCTTTTCGCTGACGACATTATCCTAGTTGCTGAAACAAAAACTGAGCTAGATAGTAGACTGGCTACTTGGAAGACTGCTTTGGAAGAAAAACGTCTAAGGATCAATATTGAAAAGACAGAGTATTTATGTTCAAACTTCAGTGGGAATCAAAACACGATAAAGATGTAGAAGTATGCATAGAAGGACATGTTCTCCCCTCAAATGATTGTTTCACGTACCTAGGGTCTATGATACATAAAGATGAGGGTGTAGATGATGACGTTACACACCGTATAAAGGCGGGATGGCTAAAGTGGAAGGCTGCTACTGGAGTTTTGTGTGATAAGAATGTGCCTCTAAAAATTAAGGGAAAATTTTATAGAATGGCAATAAGACCAGCGCTGCTGTATGGATCAGAATGTTGGGCTATCAAGAAGGATCACGTAAGGAGGATGGAGGCCGTAGAAATGAGAATGCTTCGATGGGCATGTGGTAGGACTCTGTGGGACATGACACCAAACTCTACTATTAGGATATCCTTGGGGTGGTTTTTGTATCCGAAAAATTGAGGGAGGGAAGACTATGGTGGTTTGGGTATGTCCTTAGGCGACAACCGTCGGATGCGGTCAGGAGGGTAGAGTCGATTACAGTCGACGGTGCCAGAAGGAGATGACGACCAAGGCGGAAGTGGGAAGACTGCTTGAGATCTTATTTTAAGGATTTAGCCCTTACCGAGAACATGATCTCTGATAGGAAAGTTTGGAGACTTAAGACCAGGGTAGTCGAGTAGTGCGGGTAACATCCATAAGGTGTATCATCTTTGTCTTCTTTTAATGCTTTTGTTGTAATTTCCATGACTTCTACTTTTTATACGTTCTGTCATTGGAATTTATGAAGGCTTAGAACTAGGGTAGAGGATTAGTGTTGCCTTAGTTTAGGTTTTAACATATTTGACTTTATTCCTTCTCGTAGCTTGCTATCATTGACTTCTGTGTATCCTTTTCTTCATGTTTCCTCTTTTAATTTTATCTGGGTCTTACGTTTCTGTCTATATGAAGAGATTTTTAGGCATGGATTTATTTGCAGGGATATATTCCCATTACAGACGCGCATATGAAGACTGCATATGAAATCTGTTCAAATATGTATTTATTTATTTATTTATACATGCATTGCATTTTATCTTTATTTTTAATTTTTTGACTGTCGGAGGTCTTCTACGGAAGTTGCTCTCAGCCTGGCGTTGGGGGTAGTCTACTACCCTACTTCCCCTTTACCCCATTGCATATGGAAATAGGGATTTGTTGTTGTTGTTGTTGTATTAGATTGGTTTAAAGGCTATGCTATTGTTTTTCTAAAGTTGGTTTGATTAGGTAAAGTTTTTTAGTTAAGATATTAACGGTTCAAGTCAGGTTAATTTGATACTGTTAACTCTTCTTCATCGTTACATGCAACCGCTAGTCGATAAAGTTTTTGTTTTCGTATTTGTTAGATATCCGATATGACTTAATAGTATATCCTAGTGTAGTATCTCTATCTTAGCTTGAGTTTCTTCTCATGCTTTCCCACTTGGATGAGACAACAATGTCGACCATGTAATATATTCAAAACTAGCTGAAAATGCCTCGTACAAAACAAGTAGCCTATAACGGAAAGTTCTGCTGTGAGACACTTAAAATAAAGTTAATAAACGGCGTGATCGATAAAAAAAGTAATAGGTTAAAAGTGGAGCACAAAATATTAAAGATCAGAACCGAAAAAGTTATCAATAGGAGTAACATAACATATTGCACTAAAACGTTATAGAAGATAAGAAAATGAGTTATAATTGGTAAATGTTATAAATACTATAAACATTTTAGGTTTCGCCAAAAATGTCATGGTTCACTAAGAAATATGTTGAGATCTGTAATATTAATATTTTTATTAATTATTCAAAAGTATTTATAGATTTTAATCCTTTGATTGTTTATATTATTTTAATTTTTGAAATGTATTTATTAATTAATATTATGAAATATAGATATGATTTAGTGATTTGATTATATGTTGATTTAGTATTTGTAAATTTTAATTCTTTGATTTAGTATACATATGCATAAAAAATTATTGGATTTAATATATATATATATATATATATATTTTTTTGATATTATGTGTGATATATATTAAGTAATTTAAATATAATATTTTGATTTTTGAAAAGCTACTCATTGTCATTTGATTCAAGTGGTCCCAGAGAATCTTTGTCCGCTAGCTGTCGTGAAGTTGCTTACCATACGAATTTACAGTCAAATATGTTCGTTGTCACCGAAAAATCTCAATAAAGGTTTGACATTTCCTTTAAATTTGTTCTATTTATTTTAGTTTCTTATGTTAGTTATTGCCTACTTTTTTGCAGGTCTGTAGACTCTTTTTTTTTACAGATATTTAGGTTGCGTTACAATTTTTTTACAGATTATAGTCTTATCAAGTTATTGGTTTTTTCTAGATTAAGTACGCTGAATTCTAGGGAAAAGTAATGATTTTGTCGTTTTTCAGTATTGGGTGCAAAGTGAATTTGGAGGGGATTGGGTTAATCAGATACCGATTGCTATCGGGGTTAAGTGTATTGGATATGGATTGTATACTAAATATGAGTTGCATATTGAATTTGAGTTTTAACTAGATATATTTTTAGTTTTATTTTGATTCGGGCTTGATGAATAGATTTTTAAACCCAAACAAAAATAATGTTTATAATAGGCATTTTTAGTTATCTTTTGGGTATAAATAAATCTAGGATGAATACAAATTTTTTTAAGATAGACACATTAATTTTAAGATGGACACATACATAAAAATTGATTATTTAGTAAACTAATTTTAAATTTCAAGGTAGGCACATCCGTGAAAAGGTACAGCTCCGACACTAATTTCCAAGAAGAGATGACTAAATTTCATTTGCTTTTTACTAATAATAGTTATAGTAAATCTATTGTTACTCTTTTCTATTGACCTCTAATAGATTAAATTATGAATTTCGTTTTTATTATGTTTTATGTTTTTATAGTTAATTGTATATATTTAGCTTCTTTAATTTTACAATAATCATTAATTAATCTTCCAATTAAAATATGTTGATGTAAGTTTTTACTGGTACAACACGAATAAATATATGTATTTTTTTAATAAAAGATGTGTAAAGTTATTGCATTAGTGTCTTATATGAAGGTAAGAGGACCATAGATATTTCTACGTACAAGAGTCTGAAGTTAACACAAAAAGAATCAAATACTATCGGAGAGCCATATGAAGGAGCATCTGTTTTTTCGTTGAAATTTGTTGCTGCATTCGATTTTCAATAAATTTTCTTGAATTCGATAAACTAATCTTTATCGTAAAAATTTACGATCAATTTTCAAGGATACCCCAAAGTTTTACTTCAAATTTTCAGAGGACCATCGTCCCGTCAACTGCCGCGATCCATCCCTAAATACAAATACAAAGCATCCTATAATCTTGTGCATGCATAAGATTTTACAACTTATATATTATTACAATGGTTAATAGCAAGAGTCGACGAATTTATCAACTTCTATTTAGATCAAAATTGAAATTTTAAAAAATACAAAACCAGTACAAGAGCTCAGAAAAGTTCCAACCCAGTCGAGCTCATTATAGGAAGAAAACAATACGGGAGAATAGGTTACCATTTACCAATGATGCTATTCTATTAATGTTAAGCACATGTATACACCACCTATGTATCATATGGTACAAACCTTATCAAGTACATCAATGTCCTATAAAGTATCAGATTCTGTAAATGGTGTATTTATACCATATTCTCTTTAAAATCTTACTCAGCACCAGCAAAATTGTATCTTTGAATTACAAACCCATCTCGACCTGATTCTTTCATGGAAGGCTTGTCCGATCCCAGCTGAATACAAGCCGATCCACATCAAAAATAGCCAACCGAGGGTCATTCCAGTGGGTAATTTCCAAATATCAAAATTGTTAATTTAGTCCACAGAATCACATGAAATACACAGCGCCAGTTATGATACGATTATTGAATCTTGCCGCTGCCTTGGCATCAAAACAACCAATTGCAGCTTGCCCTGCTGGCAAAGTTTAATTGGATTCGTATGTACAGAAATCTTAGCCTCCTTATCGCTTAATAAGAAAACATGAGCAATGCTGAAAGATTCACCTTGTTCGGCTGCAAATTGCCACTCTCTTGTTGATATATTGAACCAGTCTTTCCTTGCCGATTTGGTAGCTTTAACTTCAACGTATTCTATATGACCTCCTCCATCTTCCACCACTAGATCATACGGTAACCCGGTTTCGATATCTTTGTTGACCCACTTCACTGTCTTACCCGAGGTGCTGGCAAAGTAGTTGAAAGCCGCAAGCTCACCCAATTTCCCAGTTAGCAAAGCTTGTGCTGAACTGGGTGTGCCAGTAAGAAGCTGATCTCTCTGGCTAAATTCAGATGAAACAAATCCGGCATTATGCTGAATTCTCTTGTTAAAATCAAGTGAAACCAGCTGAGGGCTATCTGACATTAGGCTTAAATCAACAGGATCGAATGCTATTCTCACACCAGAATCAATCGGATTGCAGGTGTTGCCAAATGCAATTCTCACACCGGAATCAGCTGGGTTAAATGTGTTGCCATACTGACCATCCAAACTTTCAGAGTCTGGAAAAATTGGAATTGATGAAGTTGTTTCTGTATTGTCTTCCCGGGAGATATCAGTGTCTGTTGCCACTGGACCATCGCTGCTAATGTGTAAATCAATGTGATCAGAACCATTATATGTAGTTTTTGAGCCATCAATAGGCTGAGAAATAGGTGCAGGTCTCTTACTGAGACCAGGCACCGTTTTCCAATCCACGGGTGGCCAGTTTGAGTATGTCCCCTTCTTTTTCTTGGACTTGGAAGCAGATTGCTCGTTTTCCACTGTTGTAGTAGAACTCTCAAATTCATTGTTCTCCGTCCCATAAGACACAGAAGAAAGGGACCAAACAGGTTCCTCATCAGGAAGTTTCCGCACCTTTTGGCTGTTCAAGATGAAAAACTCAGTCTGTTCTTCATTAGAACCAGATTTGGCCATAGTTGTGACCATGTGAAGGAAATTTGCCAAGTGCAAATCCGGAGTTCCGTCAAATAAAAAACGAGAAAACTCCATATATACGGCATGAGAATCCGACTCAGGAGTGGTGTACAAAATATTCTCCTGTAAAACCAAATAAAAAATTTTAATATTTGCTACATAAAAATGAAGACATTTGTATCCTAATCTAAAAAAAATTCCCACAATAGTTTGGCACTGATATTTAGAGATGTATTTTATAATCGAATTAAATGACATGAATGAACGGATAAATCATATATTTCAGACTAAAACTTATCTCATAAAAGAACTACAGAGTGGATAAGCAATTTTCTAACTAGGGAGAGTGAGGGCACAACACCGTGATGCGCATTTTTTCATACTGCATGTTAACAAATGCCATATGTTACTTGGATTTGGGTGTGAATATCGAAAGTGCACATGTCCAGCACGGATATGTTGAATTTTTTTCTTAGGTTTTGCATTGTATATGGAGGGCTCTTGTAGGGTCATATCTCCATATACATGTCCAAAGATGTGTCAGACACAGGTACTACAAGAAAACGAGTCAGATCAGCATATATGTATCAATCCCGTTCAAGCACAAAAGGTTTATCCTTCTATACTTGAGCATTACAGCTAGTGTCAATGCTACTTCTATGCTTGGTTTTAAAAAGCGTAAAGCGCCCTAAAGCGCCTAGGGTCCTAGACGCCGAAGAGCTAAGCGCTAAGCGAAAGCGCTCGCTTTATGTACAAGAAGCGCCAGAAAGGTCGAAATTCACAAAAAAATACAAAATATTTATAAATTATCTTATAAATACTTAAATATCAAAGTGTCAATACATATATTCAAAACTTATAAGTACTTAAACACTAAAATATAATTCTCAATTTACTTGTAACTTATAAGTTATAAACACTTAAATACTTATATACGATTAACCATACGACTATACGAGCATACTAATCTCAAAAGATGGTCTACACTAAAAGTAGTTTAAAGTGAGATGAACAAAAGTATTTTTCTAAACCCTCAATTCCTTATAACTAAAAATCCTCTAAATCGTCATCGTCATCAACTCGGACAACATCATCTCCTTCATCACTAGACACTCCAATATCTTCTTCCATCTCATCTTCATCAACTAAGCATCTACGAGATGGTCTACTAGAGATAGGATTATGAGAAGGAGATTTTCCTTTATCATTTCTCGATGGTCCGGCTCCATCATTCACTACTTTTGATGCTCTAGTTAGATAACTAGGCTCATATGCACCGGAAGCGTTAGCAACATCACTCTATGTCAAATCCTCACCAACAAACACCGCCTCATCATCATCTTCATCTTCTTCCATTCTTCCCATCAACCACTCATTGCTCTCATCAATATCTTGCAAAAGAATGGGATCGGTCTCCTTACTTTTAGCTCGGCGCTCCAAGGCATGATTGAATTTCACAAACACCATGTCATTCAATCTAGATTGTGCCAATCTATTTCGTTTCTTAGTGTGAAGCTACAAGAAAAAAAAAAACTAAAACTGATAATTTAATAGCCCACTAAACCCTAAATAAGCCCAAAAATCGTATCTACTAAAGCCCAGAATCGTATCTTCTAAACTCGCGATTAAGCGCCGATTAGCGCTTTGCTAAAAGCGCTGCAAAAGCGCCGATTACTACCGCTTAATGAATTCGTAGTGCTTTTGCTATGCTGAAGCGCCAGGGGCCTCGCTCGCATCGCTTAGCGCTTTAATCGCGCTTAAGCGGCGCTTTTTTAAACTAAGCTTCTATGCTCAGCACCCAGTTCCGATTTTCACATTTTTATAAATTTTACAAAAGAAGATAATTTACCAAATAAAAGGGTCTAAGAATAAAACATAAACTACCATGGAGGGTGCAGATATCCCATAGACAAAGTTCAATTAATACTACATGGAATTTGATTTCAGTGGGCTCTACTGATCACATTAATAAAAAATCCATTCATACCTGCAGAAGACAGGTGCATTCGTATTTCTTCTTGGACACAATTCCGCTGCTCCTTATAACATTCCTGTAGTACAGCTTATCAACGACGACAACTTGTAAATTACTTATATTATCAAATCCAGATTGCTTGAGTTGAAAATATTTATCGGGATGGACACTGTATAGGTAGCGTTGTGCAAAAGGAAGAACCCAGTTCACAAGGGAAGTTCCGAATCTACCATCTGCTTTCCCATCAAAAATTGCTTCACGGGTAACAACCTATGTAAAAGTAAAAGCATGAGAAGCAAACAAAGGCATTGAACATACAGTAGATTAATTCTCAGCATACACATGATCAAACTGAATACCAACTTCTTTGTGGTATTAACCAGAGATAACCCCTTTTTTCCAATTAACAATATCTTCAACTAACTAAATGTACCCGTAGCCATGTGTTGGTCTACTGAAGCGGATTTAGAAATCTAAAGGTTCACAAGTAACTGTGAAGAATCCTCTGTATAATAAGAACAACTTGGAGAAAAGAGAGAAAAAAACAAAAACCATAGTAGAAACTGAATAAGTTAAAGACGTAAGTGTTAACCTTTAAAAACATAAGAAACAAATATGGCAACTGTGCATATGGTATGCATGTAATACAAATTGAAGATCATCATAATCAATAAACATAAAAATTGCAAGACATCCAAGGAAAAAAATTCAGATGACTTGTTATAAAACATAAAAGTAAAACAGACAAATTGCTTAAGCCAAATGATCTAGGTTTGAGACAGTTAAATGGTAAAAATTTAATTAAACTACTTGCTTTCAATCACACGCACTCAAGCATATCTTACCTCAGAAAGAACAGGAATCCCAAAGGTACGGATTAGAATAGACACTTTAGTCTGAAGTAACTCTTTCTCACCATCATTAAGAGTGCCAAAGTAGAGAAAATCAATGTTATCCAAGTGCTTAAATCTCTTCTTTAGTTTCTCATTGTCACACCAGCACACTAAACCAAAAGAAGGGTGCAGGGAAACCCACTTATCTAATATGGTGGGCAGCACAGTATACTCTGATTTATTAAGACATTCTTTCATTTGATGGATATCTTCAGTACTCAGTAAACCTGATCTCAGTGCATCAGCCCACTTCAGAAAGACTTGGAAAACCTAATAATGGAAAAAAAATATTAGCCTGGCTCTAATGTGGGACAATATGAACTCAATTGAGTTTAATCACTTACGGTATTAGCAGCTTGTGAAGGTAAAGTAAGTGCTGATAACTGTAGCAAAATATCCAGGTAACCACAGAAAGAAGGTTGCTCAGGCACTTTGCATTCACTAACAAGAAAGTCACGTAGACCTGGATAAATGTTGGACAATGTTCTGTTTAAGGGGCATTGGTTCTCAACCGATGAGCCAGTCTGAGAGTGATTATACATTTGCTCCATTGTTCCAGTTGAATCATGCCAAAACACTTCTTTAGAAGACAAGAATAAGCCAGGTACTACATCATCAGGCCTTGAAGTCGTGCTGTTTGGAACAAATATAAAAGAAGATGCATGGAACTCCTCATAAATTTTCTGCCTTGAATTACGTGCTTCATTCCAAATAAATGTGTATAATCTGGACATTTGTGCTATGCTGCATGCAGATAAGGAAATTTAATTCAAATGAGGTGGAATATAAAAAATCAAACAGTTGGAGACAAAGAAGAACAAAAGGTAAATGCAAATACATTAAATTGTTCAGAGCCCTACATGTTTATTTTTATTTTTTTAAAGCCTCAACTAATAGTGTGAGAAAAGTGGTTTATGTTACTATAAAGAAACCCTTCACTATAGTATATCATGTCGAAACAGTCTGCAACAAATTTCTGAACCCAAAGAGAAACAAAAATCAGTTTCTTTTCAGAAAGAAACACAAATATACACAACATATTTATTTAGAAACAATTGCAGAACTACCCACCTAAGTACCATAACAAATGGCAGGAAGTTTGCAAATGAAAAATTCTTATCCTTTCCCAAGATTAAGTACTCAATTTTAAAGGCAGAAGTTCTAGTCAAGGTTTTCCTCCCATTTTAAGCTACACAGGTATTCTCAAAATCAGGGATTATCGTACTGATAAAAGTAGTAGTTCAACTAAAAGAAAACCGATGGCTATCTTCCAATTATGCTAGAGTTAAGAGAAGACAGACTATGTTCCCAATTATTAATTGTATTCTAACATTCAGCTCTGTAATACAACCAACTGGTTAGATGCGCAGGGTGAAACATCATCCACCATCCAATCACAAACTGTATATAAAATTAAACACTTATGGAACTCCACGACACTTCAGAAGTCTTGAAACTAGCCAAAATCTATTTCATCAAACAGTATGCATTCATGCCAAATACTAAAACATAGCAGAATGGCACTAATACCTGGCCTTGAAAGAGATCTCGGATCTCCAAAATTTAAGAATCTTGAGGACATCGTCAAGGGTAACTTCAGTTTTTAAACCAATATCCTTTACTAACTTTCCATTCCTCACCTAAAAAGAAACGGAAAAAAGTATATTTAATGTTAGCAAAATTATTATGTCGGAGGGAAGAAATAAAATCTTGAACTGTTATAACTCTAAGCATTAATTTGAATAATTTTAAAATTTGGATCATCTGATTACATTTATGAAGAGATCGCATTTTTCTTATTATCTAAAGAAAAAAACAGTGAGTTGTCTCTTTATTCTCTTAGCTTGCTTTATTTAAAGATTCAGATTAAATATCAATTCGAAAAAAAGTAGATATCAGATTTTGAACTGCCAGCTTAAATTCTCACTGTTTTGAACATTTATTCTCTATAAATAAGAAAACAGTTCAATGAGAGAAACAATTCATGGCTATCAAATCAGTATCAAACAAACCTTTGGAACAGCATATGGAGCACATGCACCTAGGATGGCACGGACTGGATCACAGTCATGGAACAACTCTTTAGGATGGTGAAGCTCATTATCCATGCAAGAAACCACCCATGGGATATCACAGATCTTGCACAAAAATGAAGATCTGAAGGGTTTAATTTCACTGCCAGATTTAAAATTGCAGTGAACAATAGCTTTATCACTAAAATGACCATCCCAAAATTCATCAAGAATCTCCAGCATGTATTTACAGCCTTCAAGATTGCCACTAGTGGACAATAGGGATAACAACTGAATTAACTCATAAGATTCCCAATCCTTCACAACTGATCCAGGAGATATTAAGTCCCAATCTGATGACAAGCTCTGAAGAACAGTATGAGCCATATCCATAAAACTTTTATCATGTTGAACCACCTGCACAAAATCAGTGACACCAATTTCCAGGAAAAATTCCCTCCACTTCTTCAGCCCAGAAGACAGCAATCTGGAAGCTGGATGTTTCAAATATGTCTTGTCAACCTCATGCCATTTTAGATTCATACCGTTAGTCAACCTATTTATGTTCACAGGGTTCTCAAATTCCTTGCTGAAATGAACCGACACGTCAACAGGTCTTTTAAAGCCATAATTTGTTAATATAAAAGCTTTATTTCGCAAATCCAAGATAATGTGCTCCCTCTCAACATGACAACTGGGACAGCTAGATCGTAAGTGAATCATCACAAAGCAGAGGTAATCTATCATCAAATTTTTGTCTCTAGTTTTGATTCTTTCATCATATATATCTGGCAAAATATGTACCTTTATGATTTCATGTGCAGAGAGCTGTTGGACACCAATATTATGAAGCACACTAGTAATGTTTCCTACGGATGAGATACTGACAGCTGATTTAGAAAAAAGGGCGGGACTGACAAACCGAAGTTTAGCATACAATGTAGGAAAAGTTTCAAGTCCAAGCTCACCTTCAAAACCAGTGTTTATGGCATCAGAATGTAGCCAAATTGTCCCTTCATCAACAGAGCTAAAGGTACCATCTGAAAGAGGAATAAATGGAATTTTTCTAAGATTTTCTACAAGAACAGTTTCTATTTCACAATTCATTGACTTCTGTCCAGAAGAGTGGAATGAGATTGTATAGAACTCATTCAGCCAAGAGGATATCCAAGTTAGGCCCATATGTTTAAGGTCATTTTCTCTTTGACACAAAGATGATATAATTTGGACCAGAACTTCAGGACCATAGTCCTGGATACCTAATGCCCTTGCCAACGCATCAGATAGAATTATGTCCTTGTCCAAATAACCAAGACCAAGGTGTTCATGGAGCAAGGGATCAGGAAAAAGCTTACGAGCCGATTCAGTCCAGCCTCTTAGAACCTTGCAGGAGGGTACCCATTTGCTTTTGTCTCCTTCCAAAATTAAGCAGTTTGACATTCGTAACATAGAAATGATCATCCGAGGAAGCGAGGAAAAAAATCCATGCACTTCCCCAACAAGTGGAACAAAGCTCATATAAACTGAAACAGCTTTTCCCGGATTTTCCTGGAAACATGGGAGAGAACAAAACAATCTCACTACAGAAACAAACAAACTGGGATACTGTGACAGTAACCACTGATTCCACGGACTATCTACATCAACTTCTTCTCTAGATGAAGGAAGAACAAAATCGCCTTGAAGAATAAATTTTAGACCATATGTCCTTAAAGGAAGAAAAGCAAAAACAGGTTGTGGGTCCAGAAATGGTCTGTAACACCCACAATCAGTCTCCTGCAGAGTCAATGCTATTGAAATTTCTGTTACTTGCACATCACGGTGAATAATATCAGCCTGCAAATTTTGGGATGCTACAAACCATGTCATGTTTTCTCCCCCACATGAAACCTTCACAATACCATTTCCCACAATTTCTTTTCTCATAACAACAAATGAATTATTGAGCATGTTCCGAAACATAATACACCGAATCCTGTGGAGAAAGAGTAATAAAGAAGGATGAAGATCTGAAAACATGGAGACAATATTGTTCCTATCATTTCCTTCAGATGTAACCGATCTAAAAGGAAGTATAATGCAAGTGTTCCAATACTTATTATCCAGGTAACTAGTGTCTCCACCAAACAGCATTTTAAAAGATTCAACATTACAAGGAGGTACCAGAGTTGGCAAAACAAAACCTATCTGACCATCACTTATATCAAACTTGACATGAAACCCATTGGAATGAATCTCAGGAGCATCTGTAACCTGCAAAATTACCAGAAAATAACTTACAGAAGCCATAATTAAAATAATACATCTAACAAATACCTTTCAGATTAAAAGATTGCAGGAAAAAGGTTTCAAGAGAGTTGTAGATTGGCTTGCTAAACAGCAGAATGAATTAATGGAAGAAGAAAATGCAATTGAAATCCAATAATCCTATAGCAAAAATGCAAGAAAATATGTGGCTTGAACAAATATACATGAAAATTCAGACCAGGTGCCTTTATCATTGTTTGAAGGATGTTACATGAATTATTTCATCCTAGAGCCAACAATGAGATATTTTTTTAACATGGAACTCTTTCTCTTAAGAAAATGCAATTATACAAGGATTATTTGGAAATGCAGTGGAAAGGGGTTTCCTACCATGCTTAGAAATGCAGCACCGGTAAATAATGAATCAGTTGAATGAATGGTACGTTCAACCCTAATGAAAAGAAAAACATTAAGCATGTGACTGTTGGGCTTACAATCTAGAGACTATTTTTAGATTCTCGAGAATAGAACAGCTGAAATTTGGGCTACAAAGGAATTTTCATACTATGTTTGGGTATGAAAGACAAATATGGACAAGCTTAATTCTGAAAGAAGAATAAAGGTTTTTTGTCTAAATAAGCTAGCTTCTATACACTGATTTGAACAGAAGGATAGGAACCACAATACTTGTCTTGTTTAACTCCTATTGCTATCTATCCATTTCAACCAACTTTTATTCTAATCATTTAGCTCTTATTCATGCACCTTTAGATATGCTTTAGTCTAGATATTGAAACAAGGTGCCATTAGGCATTACTTGAACAGAACATATAAGCAAATAAGATGTAAATGAAATAGAACTGAAAAATAAGTTACTGTACCCGAAAAACAGATTTGAAGCCAATGCCTTTCTTCCCTATGTAGCCAGAACGTCCTTTTTTCGTCGAGCTTCCAACATCACAAAGTGCTCTGACGTTCTCAGCAGAAAAGCCTAGTTCGTTATTTAAAACGAAAATACCAGACTCTTGAAGAATAAAAGTTAGAGTCGGTTCCTCACTTTCAGAGTAAACATTGTCATCCGCATTTTGAACCTGAAGCAATATGTAATTAGTTAGATGCAGTTAAATAGTTTACCGTTTAGAAGCAGTGCTTCAGCAGAAAGTTAATAGTCCCACTTTCTCATAGAAAGAATCCCAATTTCAAAAGCAACAAAACGCGATGCGATTAACAGTTAACCATTAAAAAGAATCTGTTCAGTAAAATTCAATACTTCCTCTACGGAAAATGAGGATCCCCATTTCTATTTCCAGATGTTCCAAAATTAGTTTCCACTACTTGGAGCAAAGAAACTAAATCCTTCAATTCTTTTTACTTGGAGCAAAGAAAACCAAAACTCACTCTCTTATAATTAGCAAGGTTATAATGCTTGATAATTTTTTTCAAAGTAGACAGGTATTTGGGATGGAGTACAATCAAGCATATAGAAATTGCACTTAGAAGTATACCATACATCACATGACCCCCCCCCCCCACAAAAAAAATGATAGAAAGAAGGAAACGTGTTGTAAGAACTAAAAAGGTAAGAAGGATAAAGAAGCAAATTTTGCAAATTCAACAACTGAAAGTATTGAAGACATTAAAACTGGAAAAACACAAAAATATGTTCCAGAGTAACAAGGAAGATCACAGGAGAACATGCAAAGGTTAGCCAAGAAAAGCAACATATTATTTCCATCTACAGCAAGAAAACAACCCAATCGGTTGGCCTCATGGAAAATAATCAGGACCTTTAAGAATACAAATACACCAGATGGAATATCTTAATATAGATTTTCTCTCATTTCTAAGCATATATAGAGTAGAACTTTTCATTCTTTTTAATATAGAAATTAAGTCCAATAATCAACTATTAATCCATTTGAGCAGTCATGCTTTGCAAAATTGAAAAACAAAAATCAAACTTACAAGCTCAAGAATAAAATGCGAGTCCTGAGAATACAACTCCTGAGAAAGACAATGGAGTGCTCTCCCCAAGCGAGCATGTTGCTTCTTCAACATGCTACTCTCCACACCTGAAAGACTTGGATCCAGGCCAAACTCATCTCGCCTGATTGACTCAATAATCAGGGCTGCATCTGTCTGTTCATCGACTTCAGATGATTGTTCTCGGTTCTTATTGGCTCTTTTCTCAGCAGAAACTTCTTCACCACTAACCATGTCAGAAACTTCAGGTTCCTTGTCTGTCCTATTAGATGCTATTGATTCTTTCTCAGCATAGGAACGCTTATCTATCGCATTTTGCAAAGATTTTGATCTTGTTTTTGAGTCAGACATGCCAGTTGTCATTTCTAATACCTCATACGAAGGAAACCTGTTACTTGTATCAGTGGAGCAAAATACGTGGTAATCCTGTATCCACTCCACTATACCAAGTGAAAAGCCTAATTCATGTAGCATAAAGCGCTGACTCAGATCGTTGCATTCACTCGAAATAGCTGAGGGCCAATCTTTAATTACTGCTCGCATCCCATGAAGTAATATATCAGCCGCACAACCACGAAATTCTGAAGGTAGATAACATAGACAATCAAGGAAAAACCTTGAAACATGAGATGTGGCTTTATTCATTTTGATTGAGTTCATCTGTAATCCATTACCCAAATTGCCAATAGAAACATCTTCCAGAAACTTTGGCCTAAATGATGTTTTTCCATTCATAGTAGAATTCTGATAACCATCTACTTCAATGTTCTCAATATGGTTCTTCAAAAGGACTTCAAAAGCCATCTGTGCATGGTGTTTAAGAAGGGCTAAGGGAAGGTGCTTTATTCCTCCAGTTAGGGAACACAAAGACAGCAGCATCAAAGCTGTTTCAAAGGCAGACCCCTTAAGAGCAGCTTCCAAAAATGAATCAATAGTGGCCGAATGATTAATGCGAACAACTTTCCCATCTTTAGTCACCAAGCACAATAACTCTTTTTCATTCACTTCGTTCAACAACCACACTATAAGAGAACCAAGAGAGGGAGCAAACAAGACATCCCAGTGTGACCATGAATACAAATCTGACAGCATTGGGGCCCTAAGCAAAACAGCCATTGCATCCCTGCAAGCAGCTGATTTAATCTTCCTAACATTTTGGAAAGAAGTTTCAGATGAATAGTTCTCGCCATAGGCCAATGAATCTCCATTATGGCACATTCCCAACAATGATGCTGAAAATATAACACATTTGGAACTTGCATCATTCTTAGACTTCTCAACAACTTCAAGAAAATATTCCATAGAATCATTTTCCTTAACTTTGAAATCAATTAACGGATATTGCTTCATGAGAAGTGCCTTAACAACCTCCTTGGAAATAATTTGATTGTCCTGTAAATTATATGAAGCTTGTGCCATGAAAACAATCAACAGATGCTGGAGAAAGCAAACCTCTAAAGGAGATTTTTCACATGTTTCGTCAGCCAAGAGTTTCTGCAATTCAATAGGAAATAAAGAAGCATGTCGTTCAAGAAACATAAAAAACTCTCCAAGACCAAGGGACTTGAAGTTCTTAACATAAAATTGCTCCGCCAACCATGACTGACAGTTAAACAGCTTCCTCAACAAAACAATCTTTTGTTCTTTAAGTGATTTACCAATTTCATGATTAAGCTTAAAATAAGCATTAATTTTCTCAAGAACATCTTCCACTGTGACACCTGCAAATACAGTAAACTGCGTCAACTATATCAAATAAGGAGTGATAAATGTCTGAAGAGAAGAATCAAAGGACTGATGAAAGCAACAAACTATTTTTATATAAAACAGACTTATAAAAAGTGACTACCATATGGTTCCTGCATCAGTGAATTACCACTCAGAGTCTCAGACACAAAAATCTAAGCCTTAACAGGTCAAAAGGTACTGAATTAATAATAAACAAGGAGAAACAAAAAGGATGAAATCATACAATAACTTTTGTCCTTTTTTGGGAAATCAAATCAATAAAGCACAGACTACTTACAGTCTACGCTTGTGGGGACCAGTGCACCCTCCTTACTCGGTTCAACATCAATGCTTTTATGTTCAGAACAAGTATCAGATGTGCCGGTTAATTCAAATTTGCCGACAGCTTGAATAGTATCATAGATACTATCCCACATCCCTTTTTTGATAGACGTCACCTGTAATATTGGAAAAAAAATGAGTCAAACAGAATCTTAGATCTCAAAATAATTTGTCAAAATAAGCACACCTAACAGATGGCAATCCATTAATAGACTGGAACAGTCCTGGCACACTGAAGACGCCAGGACTATTGTGCCAACTAAGAAGCAAGGCACAGAGAAGAGACTCATACTTGGCATTTGATATAGGGTGATCTAACATAGAGAATAGTCTAATCACCATTATTAGATAAGTATGTCTAGTAATAAACAGGGAACCCTAAACAACATTTAATCTTATATCACCTAGAATGATTAGGTCACTACCTTGCAAGGTGCTTTAAATTCCATCCAAGAGGGTGGAGATGTTTTATCATGATGAAAAGTGATCTTCAAAATCATTTTAGGGCCAATTTACTATCAAGGTGGTGCCCAGAAAAAGTCAGTTCTCTCCTTTTTTTTATAAGCAAATCTCCTCTTTTTAGTTGTTTTATACAAGAAAAATTATGCAACCATCCACCATGAACATGACATTAACTAAAAATTGTACTCATTAGAACTGGTTAATACCTTATAATTTCTCATATAACAATGAATTCTTAGTTTTCAAACTGTCCAATAAAAATAGCCAATTTAGCTTCCTTCTAAATAATCTTATTCTTTATTCACTAGTGATCAAATAAACAAGGTAACTAGATTACCATGGTGATCTTAAAGTGATACCAAAGCTAAATATTTCATAGATACAAGCCATAGTAAAATCAAGGCACCCAAGAAACTGATTTATATATGAAAAAACTAAAGTATTTAGAAAATTGACAGTCTGCAGAATGTATCGTAAAGCTAAAACATTGTCATAACTAAAAGTCCCCACCCAGTTAAAATCTAGCAACGAGGACCCCACACTTCCACCACCAGCAAGAAGTTACATGTGGACAATCATTCTCTTACTCTTGCAAAACACATATACTGACCTCTTTTGCCTACAGCTCATACAATTAGAAAAATGGGCCACTTAACTGAGGCACACTTGATAACTTTTTTGGTAAAATGAAGATTATTACAGCTCAAACTAATATTTCTACCAAGAACCCTATCACTTGAGCTTGCTTGTGCAAACTACTTTCAAGGTGTACACCATAGGTATTAAAGGTAACTGCCTCACTAAAGGTGCCTCAATTGAAAGGGTTGAAGAAGCCTTTACTAAGTAGGGATGCAACTTAGCACCAAGGTAAATGTATCAACTGTACAAAAATAGATTTTTCCCAGTAAAAGGTAAGCAAGGAATCAGATTTATTTTACAATTGAAATAAACAATATTATGCAATATGAGCATGCTCTACAAGTTACCAAGTAAAAAGTTAACCAAAAAAGGATAACAATGAGAATGAGAGCAGCCTTTACTAGATTCTGCAGCAATTTGTCACAAACAAATTATTGCAATCAGCTAAGCACATTAGACTTACAGCAACATTTAGTAATCCGATAAATGGAAAAGAAGAAAGCATTGATTTCATTTTGTTCCTCTTCCGAGCTGTTGAGTGGTAAAAGCAAAGCATTCTTTGTAGAACCTATAAATAAATCCGAATTGAAAATGAATGTCATATTCAAGTGTGATTAAAAATAAAGAAGAAAAAACTCAATCTCCAAATCATACAGTTAACATTCAAAACAAGATACACAAGTACTCATGAGAATTGACAAAGCTTGGAGCACAGTGCAACTGTTGAAATTCTAAGATTATAAATCAAAATTATTAAAACTCTTGATCCTGAATTCATGTATTTAAATATATAGTTGAAATCCTAATATTATAAAGTGAAATAAGTGAGGAACTGCAAATAAGTGACAAAGTTGAAATGGATAGCAACAGTCCTCATACATGCAATTAGAAAATTCAGAGGATTGAAGTGCAAGGTATATAAATATTCTACAACAGGTATAACTTATTTTTTGATGATTTCTGAGATATAACTTGAGTGGTGGGAAATTTTTCTAATTTTAAGAGGCAAAACTAATACAGAGCATCTAAAGTTTCATGAAAAGAGAATATCAGCAAGCGAATTACATTGAGAAGACGTGAAAACTGACATGGCTAATTACAATCAGCACCACTTGCAATTCAAATCTTTGCAGCAGAGAAACATGACAATTTAAGAACAGACATGGCAAGTTCTATAGCTAGAGCCAGAAGATCAATTTAGATGATCTCCAGCAATATTTCAAGGTTGATAACAAGTCCAATTTATGCAAGGAGTGGTAGTTCAGAATAGTTATCGAACTGAAAGAGATTAAACAGAACTGGGTGAGATCTCTAATTAAAAGTCCTGGATAAAAGGACCAGTACAACACAAGTCAAGGAAACACGATAGACATGTCATCCGTGAGCTAGAGGCCCTCTTCCTTCAAACAATCACACCACTCAGTCTTTAACATCACACAGTGGTGCATGTTAAAGTACAAATTATTTTAGCCCTCCTTATCCTCCCTCTAGTGAATAGACACTATTTAAGTTTTAATCCTACCTAGCTCCTTCCATGTCCCTAAACCTATAATCCGTGTTCAATCCTAGCACACAATACATCTAGGCAGATCCTTTTGAGAGACTGCAGATCCTTTTGAGAGACTGCAGATTCCTCATGATGAGAAAGCTAATTGTATTGGGAAGGGGCAAAAATAAACCATTAAACTTTGTAGAGTGAACTAACCTCTTCCATTGTGTGCTCCCTACATGCCTCCTTCCAAGTTGTAATGAATGTCTTCATCAAGTTATCAGAAAGCAAAATATCAGCTTCATCCAAATTACTAAGCTCTTCGGCCTGATTTCCATTTTCTTTTGGAATAGCAGCTTGCTTGAGCCCATCTCTTCTGCTTAGCTTAGGTGGTCTAGAGACGGAAGGACTGGGACTATCAATTTTTCTTTTGCGTTTGTATGGTCCAGTGCAGTCATTATGCTTTGAGCTGACAGTAGTGGGAGATGGTTTATTAATTCTCTCTTTCAAGCCCAACCTTATCAACTCTTCTGTTGCAGAGGGATAAGGACAACGACTAACTCGATCAGAGCTATTAATAACTTCTGATGGCAACTCAGAGTCACTGCCTTCACCATTGCTATTCCTTTCATTTTTATGAGCACGGTCATTGGCATCTTCCTCCTCTGAGCTTGATGAATCGAATCGTATATGCTTGCCACAAGAATCCTTGTGGACTGACATAAATGATTCAACTTGTTGTGAAATGCTCATATATCGTTCTTTTAGCTTCAGCCCCTTGCAATGTTTTTTTACCTTTGGCCCCTTTGGGCATTTCTTTACCTCAAAATCTTTCCTTCTCTCAGCCATCTTGATAAAACTAGTATACATCCTATGATCAAAACAGTAACAATTTCAGTATGCTATAATATCAGATTTTTTTATCAAATTAGGATGTGATCACTGACTGTATTTATTCTTTTAATTGGTTTATGAATATGACTTTAAGAAGATGCAATAGGCAGTCAAAAGTCTACTCAAAAGGTAATATGTTCAGATGCATGGCTTTAATAGTTAATACTCAATTAAGCCTTGAAACAAAATTATAGGATATTAGATAGAAACTTGGAAAGTGCAGAGAAACAAACCATGTAACAAATAAGGATATCTTACAGAAAGTACCATAAAGTTAACCATGTAAGGTGTAACAAAATTATAAGATGTCTGATAGAGAGCACAATGAAAATAAATGATGAAAGTAACATATAAGCTTTTAACTTCACAAGAATAAACTTTGGAAAGTGTAATAGCTTCCTAGGCTATGAAGATAGACCAACTCTATTCAAGTTAAGGACTAAAAGATAAATTATTTTATACTATATTAATGAAAACTTTATCAGTGATTATCGAAAATGTGCATATAAGAAAAAACAAAGTTGCTGGACATTGTAATCTATAAAAAGCATATACTGGTTTGTGAAAAAAAAAACGATACATCCCTAAAAGAAAATACAAAGACAGAATAAGCCACAATTTTCAGAAACTGTACTATGAAGTTCTCAAGGCATTGGTTTCTGATGGTGCATCAGAATTTTCCTACTTGAAGTTAGTAAAAAGATATGGAATACATACGCCAAGCTCTGAATACGCACACCAAGCTCTTCCTTACTTGTGGCAGCTTGCTTGTCAGCAACAAAACCAAGAAATTCATCAATAAGAATTTCTTGATTATTATGACTGTCCATGTATTCATGGAGGTGAGCAATTACGTCTTCACTTGTTATTTTAAACACTTTTTTACAATTAGAGTTCAGAGAAAAGTAATGCAGAACCAGCGGATGACAAAGAAAAGGGCCCAGCTCTAGCTTCTCATACGTCCTAACACCCTCGTTCTTACATATTTCCATCTCCAGCTCATACAATGTAGTAATCTTTCGTACTCCAACAAAACATTGGATAAATGCATTTACCTAAAAATGGACAGAAAAAAGCGAGAAATTTAAAAAAAAATGAGGGAAATGCTCATCACATTTCAAACAATAATTTGGCCTTATTTGGCATCATGCATCAATAAAAAAGGGGGCAGTAGAAAATTTTAATCTGTCTGCTAAACATGAAAAGCTCCTTTTAATGTGGATAGAGATGTATGCCCTGTCTGTCCCCTTGAAAGGGGAGACTAAGAAACACTTGGGTTAACGAAGCTTGTAATTCCATGCAATTCCAACTTTCTATAGTGAAATATCAACCCGCAGAAGTTAAAAAATAAATCTTAAAATGGGGGAAATGACCAAAAAAGTAAATTGTAATACCGTTCTAGCATGACTGTTCCTTTTTTTTAGGAGAAGGGGGAGAGGTTGCCTGGAATTGAACCCAGGACCTAGCATAACTGTTATTATACAAAGAAAATCTTTTTTTTTATGAAAATACAAAGAAAATCTTTTGGTTCTTCAGAAGTACTATTTTCTTTCTGGTTCAAACATACTTTCTCTCTCTCTCTCTCTTTGAGAAGTATGATTTGAACCCTCATCTTTTAAAAACATTATCTGCAACAATACACAAAGTATCCAATTGTCCCTATTCTATCAAAGGATTTCAAATTCATATAGCCACTAAATTTGCATTGAACAAAAAAGAGTTTGCACATAAAAGACATATATAATCTATGTATTGTAAATACCCTTCCTTCAATGGTCATAAGCTTTTGAAGAGACGGAACCCCCTGCATATCCAATCCCAGCGAGCTCCAAGAGTCGGCCTGCAGTTCCACCAAGGCTGCCTGTGAAACTTTCCATGCCGTAACACTGTTTCTAGAAGCCATAAGCCCTTGCCACGCCTGGTTCACGGCCTGATTAATTCTTTCCTGAACCTCCCTAGGTACTTGGCCAGAGGTGGCGCTGCCTCTCTGGTTGTGAAGCTGGCTTTGGCTGCTTCTGGGATTATTGAACAACTGTTGTGGCGGTTGTTGGGTAGTGATGTTAGGGTTTTGCGGAAGGGAATAAGGAAAAGGGTTTTGGAAGAAGAAATTGTTGGGGTTTTGTTGCAGAGCAAAGTTTGGCTGGGTTTGGAGGAATTGGAGGACGTTGGGGTGTTGGAGAGGGAAATTCGGATTTTGAGGTCCGAATGAGGGCTGAGACGGAGGATAGCCGCCATGGGGGCGGAAGGGACGGTGGCCGCGCATATTGAAAGGTAAGAACGGAAGTAGGTTTTGGGAGCGTTTAGCAGTGTCAGCTCCGCGTTTATATTGTGATACCGGTACAATGGACGTGTGTGTGTATATATATATATTATTGGTTATATCATTAATATCATTATTTTTATTATTTGACTTCTATTATGTGATTGAATCATTAAATTTTAACGACATGATAATATGAATAAAACGATATTGTTTTAACAATGATTGTCAATGTCTATAACGATGATGTTTTAAGCACTAAAATTTAAAAGTGTATTGATTTTGTCACTAAACGTTTAAATAATTTTTTTTGTTGACAATATACTTTTTCATCGTCATCAACAATCAACCATTGTCTATCATCGATTGTCTTTCATAATAAGATTGATATTAAAACGTTCGCATTCCGTTTCTTTTTTTCTCATAGGGTTGATTTTCCAAGAAATCCACTGAAAATCGACAAAAATCATCTTAAAATATCGACGTGTTAATATTATGATCTCTTTATATGATCGTCGATGAGGTTAGTTTTGAGGTATGTTATTTTTCTTTTCGAAATAATTCTTCTCACCATATGAATTTTCGAACAAATACCCTAAATTCCTCAAATTTAAGAATGTGTCTAAACCCCTAAAAAGATAGATTTCTTTTTATTTAATTTTATCGATTTCAAGTGAGTTTCATGGGGAAACTAATCATAGAAGAATAAAGAGAAGTGAAATGTGAACATTTTGATATTGATTTTATGAGGAAATACGATTAATGAAAGGAAGAAATTGGGTGTCAGTGACTGCTGAAAAAGGTATAATACTAAAAAGTAAAATATTTAAAAGTTTAATCACAAAATAAATACATCCCTAAAGCCTATAACCTAAAATGATGTATTTTTAGACATCAATTGTTGCACCAAAATGATGTTTGTTTTTCTCATATTATCACATTATTTAAATTTTAACAGTTAAGTGGCATAAGTGACGTTAAAATGAAAGTACGTTGTTGTAATCGGAGAACTTAAATATTTAATAATATAAATGATACATCATCTAAATTTCTGTAATATCTGATGTAATTTATCCGTAAAAATGTTAAATTCTTTTATCTTAAACGAAAGAAAACCATGCTTCGATAGTTTCTTTTTTTTCTTCATGAACATGTTAACGTTCATCGAAACCGAGTTGACGTTTAGTTTTATTTTTTTATTTTTTTGAAATATCATGGTCTCTATGGTTGTTTCGAAATGAAATTATGTTTGATTTATCATTTTAGTAATGTTACTACTATAACTATTTGTTTTTATAACTTAGGAGATAGGCGTATTAAGTTGCTCAAACATCGAGAGATTGAATTTGTCTAAAAAAAACCTATCCTTACAAGCCACAATAAAACTCTTCTAAATTTAAACTTTGTCCGGTTACATGTTATGTTCTATTTTTTTTTCAGTTTGGTATTTTATCATCGTATTGTTCCTATTATTATTACGACATTGTATTGTCTCGTCACTACAACACTGCTATATGTTGTGATTTATAGTGGCGTTTTGGTCTATAAACGCCGCTAATGCTCTTGATTCTCTTATCTTTAGTGGCTTTTTATGCCACAAACGCCGCTAATGGAAATTGTTATTCTACAACATTGTATTGTCTCATTACTACAACACTATACTACTTTTTATTATTATTGTTCCTGTCAAAATAATAATTTATACGCTTACATTTACTAACAATAAATCATAAATGGATTTGTTGATAAATCGGGCAAAGTAAACGAAAGAACACAATAATTTTAACGAGGTTCGGCAATGTGCTTACGTCCTCGGTGCCTAGGCGGCGCTAGAAAATTTTTATTCAATGATAATAGGTTTAGGTTACATCTCTATTTATAATAGAAAACCCTGGTACATAATTCCAAAATTAACCCTGTACTTTACCGGTATATTTATGAGCCATACCTTACAGGATTGGTGTTCGGTAACATTTGAACGAGGAAAAACGAAGAGAACAACTGGGTTGTTTAAATGATCAAGGAAAATGTTCGTTTGGTTCTAAAAAATATTTTCTATTTTTATTTTCATAAAACAATTTTCATTTTTAATTTTTTGAAAATTAGAAAATGTGTTTGATCAATATAAATGAAAACTTAAATTCATAAAAAATAGTTAGAAAATTTTGGTATCTATTTTTTAAAATAGAGAAGAGCAAATAGTTATTAGATAATTATTATTAAAAAATTATTATTAAAAAACCATTACATAAATGTAATATGTGAGTTATGCAAATATAAAACAATAAAGTTGATAAAAATTTTATAACACAAATTATTTTTGTTTATAATAAGAGTATAATGTTTATGCATATTGGATACCAATTAAATTAAAATAATACAATTTTTTTTAAACAATAACATACATAATTGTTTATACATCCGATAAATGTAGTTGTTTGAACATAAAACCCTGAGTAACATTTATTTTTATTACTAAGACAACTTGATAGATTTCTCTAACCACATTTATATTAGTTGCTTGAACCTAAAACCCTAAGTAACATTTGTTTATATCACTAATACGGCTTAATAGATTTCTCTAACCACATTTAAAATATAGCGATACTTCCTAACTTCATAAACGTGAAGTTTAATACAGAAATTCGTCCTCAGAAAAATAATTTGTCGAACACACAAATTTAATCACATTATCACTTCTAACAACTTTCGCATCTTTATAAAATTATCTTTTAGTCGTGGCAAAATAAATTATGCATGAATTGATTCACTTCGATTTTTTGTCAACAAACATATCATACACCCTTAGAGAAATCATCGACACTAGTAAAAAGAAATACGAAGCATCATAAGAAGCACACTTAATACTAGATTAGACAATAGACGACATTCAATAGTGGAACTTTATATTATTATTTGGAGGCTATTTCAAAAAATGTATATATATTAAAAAAATTATAATTTAATATATATATATATATATATATATATATATATATATATATATATATATATGTGTGTGTGTGTGTGTGTGTTATAACTACAACAAAATAGGTTTTAAGTGGCCCTTTTTTAGTCCTATAGCGGCGTTTTTAAACGCCACTAAAAATTCTACCGGCGCTAGTAAGAGCGCCGCTAAAATGAATGCCGCAAAAGTTAGCAGCATTTGTGAACCTAAAACTATACAAAATGTCTAGTTATTTAGTGGTTTTTGTGAGAACAAACACCGTTATATGTTGTGATTTATAGTGGCGTTTTGGTCGACAAACGCCGCTAATGCACGTCTTTAGTGGTGTTTTTTGCCTCAAACGCCGCTAATGGAAACTGTTATTCTCTTGGTTTTACGGATGAGTTTAAACCTTGGGCCTTATGGCATTATTTAAAGAGCTGGTAATGGCAGTTGTTATTCTGCAGTAACCAGAAGCCTAGTTCTCTCAAGAAACATTCTTTTCGAAGCTAGAGAATATGAAGGTGAGTAGTTTATTAAAGGAAACAATTTATCACCATCCATCGTGCATGATATCTTTAAAGAATATTACGTTCAAATCTAAAAAACTAAACTTTCATAGCTTTAAAGAATATTACTACATTTCATTTAGTTAGAGTCATTTAAACTAGTATCAACAAACAAAGAGAAATAGAAGTAACTATCCTTTGACGACCTTGTAACCACATCATGAACAACATGGATATGCTTTCTTTTCCCAATTTCACCTTTGTGCTCCATGTAGTTGCTGAGAAAATCCAGGAAGAAGCTTTCTCAGCAATGACTTGAACCGATTACTTCAAAATCCTAGCAGTCCAAGTGCCTCACCTAGAGCCCAAGTTAGAACAGTAAATTATTGTCTGCTACAATGCAATCTTATAAGCCTAAATTTAATTTGATATAAAATACTTCTAAAACTTATCCCATATGATCATTGTTTTCTTAAGCCTTCTCAACAATGACTTTAATGGAGCCAAACACTTCCAATGCGTTTAACCTTGTTGGGTACAATTTCAAATCTGCAATCAAACGTTATGATCAACAAGGAAATAAAATATTTCACAAGTCAAACTAAAACAGACAACAATTATAATTTACCTCTTTTTCTGACCAAGGTAAGTTCGTAAAAGCTAAAATAATAGAGCAGAGGTAAGCGAAATAACAAACAAGAAAAGTTGCGTACATAGGTGTTTAGTTGTCTGATAAAGCTCGAGAAGTTGTTGTGCTTAAAATACTTGGGCAAAAAATCCAGAGAGAACTCTGGCGGGTTCTAAATTACGAAGCTATTGTTGGTTGAGCTCCAAGAAACGACGGCATCGGTGGCGGGATCATCCACCATATCGTAAGTCTTTCTCAAGAAACTGCAATTTTGCAAGGGTGGAGAAAAGAATAATGACAGAACAAGTACCTGAACAACAAAAATTGTTAAGAGGCAGAGGAGGAGAATTTGTGGCAGCACCTGCTGCAAATGCTTGAGCAAGTCTCTCAAACTCATTGGTTACTTGTGCATTGTCAATCCCAACTGAACAAATCTATGCAATCAGTATATGACAAATAAGTTAGCAGATACTTAGTATATTGTTCATTTTAAACCCATCCATGAAAGAAACTTAGTCTAGCCAAACAACTGAAAAGATAATGGCAGCTTAAGGGGAAAATTCTTCAATCTTAATCAACATTTCCATGCTTATTTAACTTTATAAAAATATTATGCTAAAAATATAACTTGAAAGATGAGAATAGAACTATCAGAATAGACACAAACCTGAACAATGAGCATGACCTCTGAAATATCGGCCTCAAAATTTTTGTCTGCAACCTTCCCAACCGATCTTCCTTCTCTGACCTTGTAGATTGAATATAATTTGAACATAAGATTAAACAAGACTTTACCAGCAATTTGATTTAGTGTATTGGAACAAAAGACAATAATAATGCTAGTATCAACAATAGATCAGTGGACATGATATGCTCAAAGCCATTGCATAAAAGAAGATACAGTTAACTGACGCCAAAATCCTGGATTTTTAAATCTGTTCCAAATTGGTAAGCTTGAATGCTGCAAAAATTCCTGCAAGATTGAAGTATATGTGCAAGCAATTTTTGAAACATTTGGGCAGTCCGTAGGTTCTTCAACAGCTTTCACACCCTCCCTGAAAGGATTCTCGTCTTTAAAATCACAATCCAGTTCAAAAGAAGTTCCCAAGCAGGTTAAAAGTCTTTACCTAAAATTTCCCATCATGAACCCCACAGTCAGTTTACCCTGTCGAGAATATCCAACAGAAAACTCAAACTTGTTGCCGTATCCATGTACAGCTGGAGATTCAATTATACCTTCAAGTTCACATGGAAGACCACCTATACAAATGGAGATTTTAAAAAATAATCATTTCAAGAAATTACGAAGTACCATCTAATTGCAAATTCAAATTACTATACTTTAAATACAAATTCAATGAGAGGATTAGTTTTCGTGTTAAAAGTGAAAGTAAACCTCAAAAGTGAAACACCGCTAGGTCAAGCTTTGCGTGCATTTCTAGTCTGCCAAAGAATAAATAACACTGAGTCAAATATAATTAATAATGAAAATCATCATAGCTAAAAACAGAACAAAGGAAAAAGTGTTTCTAACAAGTTTTTTTAGCATTTGCATGACAAAATTCTTCTTCTGCTCCAACTGGTCAATATAAGGCATCTGAGCAAGTGGGGTGACTGCATCGCGTACGCTTTTCACCTTTGAGGTTTAATCATTATATGCAGAACCATCATCATTTGGCACACCATCTCTCTTGGAAATGTGGCACTAAACAACATTGTTTAGAAACCCTAGATTTAACCAATAGCTTCTACCAAGGTCGAAATATTAAAAAATTGGAGCTTCTACCGCTAAAACCGTCGCTACAAACCTGTTGGATCTGAAACTTCTCAAACTGCTTCTCTAAGGAAGGAGAGGTTAGGGGCGAGTCGAAATCACCTCCGGCCATGGAAGTCAAACAAAGAGCAATTTTGAGAGGGGAACGAGATAAAAAGGCTTCTGGAAACGGCCGAGGGAAGCGAAGAATTGAAGCGACGGAAACATAGAGAAGGAAGCGAGCAAAAAGAGGAAATGAAGGGTATAAAACGCCGCTATAGTACTACTTTATTGTGGTGTTTGTTGAAAAACGTCACTATAGATGAACCATATTGGGGCATTTGTATAAAAACACCACTAAAATACTACTATATTGCGGCGTTTGTTGAAAAACGCAGCTAAAGTTACCATTTTGTGGCGTTTAGAATGTAAACGACGTTATATGTTTAAAATTAGTGGTGTTTACTCTCAAAACATCACTAAAAATTCCGTAACAGTTTTGCTGTAGTGTTATTTTTTTAAAATATTAGGAGGGACATGGCCCCACTAATCTCTTACAGGTTTCGCCACGACATTAGTCCTTAGGATGTTTGATGATGAGCATGTATGATGTATCTTTGTAATCTTATTGAAATGAGATAGGGAACTAGATGAACTATCTTAGGATAGGTGTATGAGAATTGATTGCTAAAATTGAGATTTCCTGAATCACACTTAACACTAAACTATATTGGATGACCTTAACAAATTTTAAATATTTTGAACCAAACACTCCAAACATTGCCACCAATAAAAAAATTCAAGACAATAATAGTTGGTAAATCATCAATAATAAAAAAGAGTAAATTATGCGTTTAGTACCTAACCTATTAATTTCGGGTTGTTTTAGTACCTAAACTTTTAATATTTTCAAAATCATACCTAAAGTTAAGTTTTTGTTTCGTTTTAGTATCTTGCCGTTAAAAACCATTAGTTTTTGTTTCATTTTAGTATCCACATTCAAACTTCAGCGTTATGTTTTACAAATATTGAAAGTTTAGGTACTAAATGCGTTAAGTTTTCAACAGCAGTGTACTAAAATGAAATGAAAACTAAGCATTAGGTATGGTTTTGAAAAAAAATTAAAAGTTTATATATTGAAATAGACCAAAACTGATAGTTTAGGTATCAAATATATAATTTACCCTAAAAAGAATTGCCATAAAATTAGAATTGTGGAGTAGGTCAGCATCACTTTATATACATTGTATATTGGAAGCTTGCAGGGCCAGAGCTATGTATAGTCTTAAGGGGTTGTCTGCCTCCAATATTTTTATCATTAAAAAATATAAGGAGATAAATATTTATTTAAACCTTTAAATCTTGATTTATTTTTATTTTTTTCATCCATTTCTTATTGTTAATTATATTTTGCCACTATTTTAATATTAAATTTTATTAACATAAGCATCAAGTCGTTGTAGTGCAGTAGTAAATATACCCGTTTGTCTTGGGGGTGACCTAGGTTTGATCCCCGGCAACGGTGTTTGATTTTTCCAGTTATTATGCTACCGTTTTAATTTTTAGGGTTTAACTCTGTTTTAGTCCCTATATTTTACTGATGTTTGAAACAATTTAATTCCCCTCTTTCTACTATATTATTAGTAAGCACAGATCCAAATTGACAACAATAATAAATAAAGATGGTATTGACATAAACTTACTGACAATGTTACAGAATTAGACATTACTTTTTTCAATTAAATTTGAAAGATTAAATCTTAAACATAACATAATAGAGGGAGTAAGACCAAATTAGGCCTGTACCTTATTATCGGATCCCTGCTAGCCAAAATCAAACTTTGAGAGCAATAACCTCATTGGGTTGAAGGACTAAGGTAATTGTTTGATATTTCAAAATTCTCTTTCTAGTACATGAATATTTCACAAATCATGTCTGTCGTAACCGTCATTCGAGTGGGCCCGAAATCGGGTTTTGACTTAATTTTGATGTGTTAGAGCCTCCACCGATCATGTAAAATTAGGTTGATCGGAAATCTTAATTTATCATTTACCTTATCTGCGTTTTACCAAAAATTAATCGGATCCGGGAGTCGATTACAGTCAAGGAAGGATTAACACCCTTGTACTGCCCTTTCGGTACCAATTTAATTTCTCGATCGTCTTAATCGCGAAAATTAAAAGTTAAATTAAAATTTAAAATTCAATTCGAATTACTTACATTTGATCGATTAAAATCATTCCTAAAAGAGTCAAAAAATGTTAAAAAATAAAATAAGATAAAGAAAATTGCAAAGAGTTAATGTTAGGGTTAGAAAAAAGCAAATAAAAAATTTAAAATTAAATAAATAAACGAAAATTTAAATTAAAAGGATTAAATTGGGAATAATTAAAAATAAAGGATCAAATTGAATTTAATGAAAGTTGCAAGGGAAAAATAAAAGTTAGAGGGAGTTAATTGCATAAATATAAAAAGATAAACATGGACTAAATTGAATTAATTCAAAATTTTAGGAAAATTTACAATAGGTGACCAAAATGAATTATGCATCAAAATATCAGGGACTGCAGAAGTAATTAGACTATTTCATAATTACAAGATGGTCTCCCTATAAATAGCCCAAAAAATCAGGAAAAAAAATTCATTTTAACAATTCTTTAAAAAACACTCCCCTTTTAAAAACACTCTCCCCTCTCTCCTCTTTTAAACCATCTGGCCAATGATTAATTACCCCCTCCCGGTGATCAACCGTCGCCGCTCCAGCCACCGCCGGTGGCCTAAAATTTAAAACCTACACCCTTTCGAACCCTTTCAACACCCCAAGGCCAAAATTGATCCCCAAACCTCCAATAAACCTTAATCGACGTAGATCTAAAAAATATCTCGGCTTTACATTTGTTCGTCGGTGGCTTTTCGTTTTCCCGACTTTCTTTCCGTCTCCTAGCATGACCGAAGATGAAGCATTTTTTTATAATTTTATTGCGATAAACCGAATGGTTTTTTGGCTTGAATGTTTCATTTTTTTGTGTTTTCGATGTTTCGACGCTTTTTGATTTCTCTTGCTTGATGTGTTTTTTGTGGCTTCTTGTTGTTCGATGTTCTTCATGGTTTCTCTCCTGTGTTTTTCATATCGATTGTGCAGGTATTTATAGAGCCCCCATTAGGGCTATTTTTGATTGCTTTGGGGGTCGTTCTCCCCGTTCTCGATTTACTCGGGCTAGTGGAGGTTGTTGTCGGACGAAGGATTTGGGATGGTTTAGTCCCGAATCGGGCTTTATTTTGCTGGGATTTGGGTGTTTTGAGATCCCAAAAATCTCGGCCGGTTGGTCACCGGAAACTGGCACGGGAATCTCGGGTTAAGGCTTCTAGCGTGTAGTTCTCACGCGCCCTCTCGTGCGGTGCCAATGTTAGGGTTCAAACCCTAGTTGCCTTCGATCTGGGCCATCGATCCTTGTCCTGATCTAACGGTTGTAATGTGTGCGGCACCAATGCTAAAGACGAAACCCTAGTCGGTTTGGGTTGGGTTAGGCCTGCCTACTCGGTTGGGCTCCTTGCCAGACCTTTGTTGGACTCCTCACTTGGACCTGAAAAATAATTAAATAAAATAAAATAAATAAATAAAGATAAAAATAGAAAATAAAAATAAAAATAGAAAATAAAATATATGTATTAAAACTATATAATATATAATATATTTCACAAACAATATAATATATTTTCAAACATCATATATTTTATACGTTTTCAAAAACCGTTTTTTAAAACCATATATATGTTTTCAAAATCTTTTTGTTAACTACATATTATATGTTTTCCAAAATATGTTTTCAAAAACCATTTTTAAAACTATATATTATGTGTTTAAAAACATGTTTTTTAAAACTATACTATATTTTCAAAAACTATATATATTATATATTTGAAATTATTATATTCATATATACCATATAATGTAAAAAGACCCGGATGAAAATGAGTGTCTACAATGTCGACATTTGAATGAGACATTGAGCTATATCTTTAATTGGGTCTACCACAAATGAATACTTAAAAAAATGAAATTTTTATTTAACCTAGATGAAATTCATGGCAAAATAAAGAAACCAAGTGTTGTCATAAACATATATCCTAAAATTATGTTCCAAAAATATAACTAAAAGATGAATACTTAAACTTGTTATACGTTCGAGCGATAGAGGAATGTTTGAAACTCGCTATGCACGAGAAAAGAACGGTATCGATGAACACACTCATCGCCCGAACCAAAAGTCCGCGACGAGATCAACAACTGAATTTGATATTTGACGATGTAAGACTCCTAGCATAAGATCTTACCGAAGACAATGCTGTCCAATGTGTCATAGGGCTCCAAAACACTGCAATCAAGAACCAAAATCTTCAGCATACTGGAAGGGTTGTACGTCAAATTATCAATGGTGAAAGCAAGGAGTCATATCGTCGAGCAATGCTTGCAACTCTCGGGGATGAGTATTAACGAGTTACTTAAAAGCAATCAGTTTGTTTTCGTGGGCACGTGGCGAAAGATCGATACGGAAACTCCGTAATTCAAAACAGCTTTGAAAGAGAGTAAGAAACTCACTAAGGAGATGGGAAGGCATATTCTGAAATTGTTAAAGTCTGCGGTAAACAAGCTCCACATCTTCAATTATTTTTCATGCTGTAATCTTTTTGTGGTTTTGTTGTCAAATGCCGTGAATTTTTCATATATAATATAGTTTTAATGAATAATATTTGATAATATACATAACCCTTGTTAACATATAATTTATATTGTGAATAGTTTACAAAATATTCACTTGGGCAACAATCAATTTAATACCTTTGGCAAGTAAATTCCTTCAAAAATAACCTCAATTATCCAGAATCTAAGTACTCAAACCAGTAAGAACAATCAATTGAGAAAAGAATAAAGAAATAATTTTTCCCTGGGAAAATATAATTTCATGGTATATGGGGTAAATTTGTTGTTTTACACTCACCTATTGCTTTCATGTATTTTCTGTCTCCATTCACCGGAGTTGCCGTGCAGACTTTAACCCCCCGGGGCACCCCTGCGTGTCGCTAAGAATCGGAACATCGTCACTCAATTTTTTTCATAGAATAAAATGTATGCCTCACAGAGAAGAACTTCTTCGATTGATTCTTGGCGAACATGTTGGTCACTCGCGTAGTACCATTGAGAACTGACAGGCTCGGTATCGGTCCCTTTCCTCTTCTCTCCCCCTCTCACATATGCAATGTAGTGACCCCCTCTCATTGTTCCCTAATGCTCCACGACCCCGACCAGACTGTAAATGCAATCATCTGCATCTTTGCACCTGCACATTTTAAACATGAAGTTATTCTTTCTCTTGTTCTTGGTAAAGTGTATCGTTCGCATAGCCTCGAATTTAACTGACAATGTGTTCAGATCATTTCACAATCTGCTGTAAAAACTGAAATAAACTACAGCCAAAATGATCATTTCAAAAGATCATCATTAGAGTTCAACGATTTCATGGCATTTGAAAGACAGTGGAATTATGTTACTCTGAGTCTTTATTTTCCCTAGACTATTCATGTACGACACCCATGTCCAATGACGATCCTCCAAATACATGGAAATACTTCAAAAAAGCACTGACCCCTCGCAGTCTGAGCATAAATAGAATTAAAGAACTGGATGCATATATGATGTAAAATCTAGAACAAAACTTGGATGCATATATGCAAAATCAAGTGAAAGGTACAAGGATATCGTGTAAAATCTCCAACAAAACTTGGTATACCATGCACGTTGAAAGTGATCCCTGGCTCAATAAAGACATCATGCCTTCCACATTGTTTGACTTCTTGCCCTAAAACAAGCTAATTTCAAAAGGATGCATTTGCAAGCACCCGAATAAGCCTATCCTTCCTTCAAAAAAAAAAAGAAAAAGAATGAGCCTATCCATATCTTCAAAGTTGAACTTGTGTAATTAACTTAGATTATGAATGGCGATTGTCTAAAGTAAAAAGTATTCGGAAAAAGAGCAGAGAGGTTGCTTGAAATTTGCACTCTTTCATAGAAAGAAAAACGATGATAGGATATCATGTAGTAATGTTGCATTTGACTTGTCTACTCCGACTCGAGGCTAAGAGTGTATTAAGCTTACATATCCGGTATGGAGATCCTCAATTTGTTTAAATCATTTATTAGAAGAATCATATCCTCATAAGTCATATCTATGTCTGAAAAGAAGACCTAAATCTCCAGAAAACATGTACACAGCATATACACACGTGAAAGTGCTATCATACAAACAGGAAGAAATCGAAACAACAAAAAGAAGGGTGACTGAGAGATTCATACCCAGAAATAGCTTTGTATGTTTGTGTCTATATATGCCTCTGTGTGTGTAGGGAGAGAGAAGCACACAGTATATCATGTGACAAACACGTAGAAGACGAAAAGAAGAAGAAGCATTCTGTACATGTTTCCCCAAAGAATTTAAATATGGAAGACTTCCGGAAAAATCACCCTACTTGGTGTAGGTCCCCTGATTTCTTTCTTTTAGAACTTCATCTAAAAACAAAAGCTCTCAATGTTCTAAAAGAGTTTAGATCATCTCAGAGACATAATTAGAAGCTAAATCATTATGTCTTGCATCCACGATACAGGTGAAAGCGCAATTATAACAAACAATGTTCAATGGTAAAAGGATAGAGCTTTAATGAAATAAAAAAAAAAATCCATTCAGGAATTGATGTCAAAATAGGATATTACATTCTTTATCCTTCTCTTGGTCAAACTATCCTATTGTATTACCAGAACTCCCTCTTTTAACCAACTTTTGGTCTGATTCCTAAGATACTATTAAAATTGTGTTCCAGCATCTTAAACATAAGAATAAGTTGCACCATTTCTACACAGGGCTGCTATATGTAATTTCCAGAAAACGATGTTAACAAACAGGAAACACATTGATCGAGTGGTGGTTTAATGTAACCCACATATCTAAACAGAATGAGGCAACTAAAAACAAAAGGAATAAAAGAGATCATTAAAAAATTAGAATAAGCCTAAGCTAGACATATTGTGAGAGGTACCTGGGATCAACATATGGTCTAAGATTGATTGTTTCTCTGAAATTGACATGACCATTCAATTTACTTAAGCGACCACGAACATCTTGACAAAATCTCTTCAAGTGAATAGTCAGAATAGGCGGTGCCTTATTTACGAGGACCCTCTTCGTAGAATTTCTCTTAACCTTCACATCTTCGGAGTCTATCTCTTCATCATCACTTTCCCCAGATTGACAGTTTTCGGTCATATATGAATTTCTCTGCTGGAAGTTCACATTACTACTACAATTTTCAACATTGCAATGTTCAATAGGTCGGATACCCCCAGATTGTTCTTGAGCATTAGATTTTGAGCAGACTGAAGAGTTTGATTTCAACAGATTAGCATCTTCTAATACAAGAGAATTTAGCTCGCTTGTTTGACCAATTTCAACTTTTATACCATTTTGACTCTCATTCTGTAAAACCAAACTATCACCAGAACTATTGATATTGCCATTACTAACGGTTCTAACTTCATTAGGACATTGGAGTTCCTTATCTAAACTAGATGGTTCATAGATGGTGCATATTGGCCTTATCCAAACATCTTCTTAACTCTTTTCCCCATCATGAGTTCCTAAAAATCCATATCCTAGTGACCATGAACACCTTAAATCCCCAATCACTGAAACAATCAAATAAGCAGGGAAAAGAAGAAAGAAAAACAATCTACACTATAGTGCTCATGTACATATCTGGTGAGGATTAAAATTTATGAAGAACGTCCATAAAAAAAACTAGAGAAAATAACCTCAGTGACCAAAAATCTCAAATAATATACGATTTTGACCAACTTTTTTTTGGATTTGCGAAAATGACCAACAAAATCACAATGCGATCTCTAATTCGCATTGAGATCTCCACTATCGCAAATTCGCGTTGCGATAGTTGAAAATCGCGTTGCGATAGTTGAAAATCGCGTTGCGATTTTTCAGTTCGCGTTGCGATAGTCTACAGTTGTCGTTGCGATTTTCTAAATTCGTTGTGATAGTTAAAAAAAAGATTTTGTTTCTTAAGAATTTTCTCTAAAAAGATAGTATCCGAGCGGACGTGTCGAAGACACGTATTACCATGACACGACTCAAGACGAGACGAGACGGACGGCGGCGCGCGAGAGTCCCCCTTGTTCTCTATCACTCAACAAGAAAGTGGGAAAGCCAAGCCTTAAATACCATTCCCAATAGTGTTTCCAATACTATGTGTGATTGAGCATTACCAACACTTGTTTCCAATACAATGTGATTATTCAGGAAACAATTAACAATCATACACCTTAAAACAACTGAATCAGCAACCAATTGCATTAGTATTATACGATTAAATATGTCATAATTAAAAGTCAATCTACAACCAATCGCGATTATTGCAATTTTAAGCAAAATATTCAAAAATAATATCATTATTTAAGGCTCAATCCCACATAGTATTGAGAACAAGTGTTGGTAATGCTCAAATCCCACATAGTATTGGAAACACTATTGGAAATGGTATTTAAGGCTTGACTTTCCCACTTCCTTGTTGAGTGATAGAGAACAAAGGGGACTCTCGCGCGCCGCCGCCGTCTCGTCTCAGGTCGGGTCGTGGTAATACGTGTCTTCGACACGTCCGCGCGGATACTATCTTTTTAGAGAAAATTCTTAAGAAACAAAATCTTTTTTTTTAACTATCACAATGACAACTGTAGACTATCGCAACAATAACTGTAGACTATCGCAACGAATTTGAAAAATCGCAACGAATTTAGAAATTCGCAACGACAACTGTAGACTATCGTAACGCGAAATGGAAAATCGCAACGCGATTTTCAACTATCGCAACGCGAATTTACGATAGTGGAGATCGCAATGCGAATTAGAGATCCCATTACGATTTTGTTGATCATTTTTACAAATCCAAAAAAATTGATCAAAATCATATATTATCTGTGAATTTTAGTCATTGAGGTTATTTTCTCAAAAAACTATCAAGTAAGCATAAGCAGAGAATCGAACCAAAATAAAAAGAAGAATGCAAATTTAGAAGATGACCCAGATGCTGATTTGGATTGATGAATGCGAGAATAAGCTTCCATAACAGTGTAATAAACAAAGCAAGAGAATAAAAGAAACCCGAACAAAAAGAGTGGTTAAAGTTGTGAAAATCAAGGATTCAAAAATAAAAAGGGGGAAATACCTTGAAATATGGCGGAAGAGGAACAATAAAAGGTTAGATTACATGGAAATAGATTAGGGTTATTTTGGTTTGGAGATTTAGGATCTAAGCTAAGCAATGGAAATAAGGGAGAAGTAAGGGTTTTTCACAAGTTGGGCTCCAAGTTTACTCCTTTTCTAGCATCACCCATTTTATCTCTCAAAGGCATCGGATAAAATAAAGAGACGATGAAGGCGAAATAATATGGGAAGTTCTACCGCGGGTACTCTTAATGTATAACTAAAAAAATTATAGGTTTTGTTATTATTTAAATAATAAAATTGATAAAAAGTTATATAAAAAATTATTATTTTTATTAAAATATTAATATTTTTTAATATTTTTGGTAAAATATTTAACAATAACAAAACTTGAAGCGATATATCGATTTTGTTAACAAAATCGATATAATGCCCTATAATAATAAAACTAGTAGAAATAATAATATTTTCGATAATTTTTTTATTTAAATAATAATAAAATCGATAGCGCCTTTTTTTAACCGTAGATTAAGACTGTCGCATGTGATCATTTTCCAAATAACATAAAAATAAGGGTACACTACACTTTTAATACCCTAATTATCATGAGTGTTTTGTTTTGTTTTGTTTTAATTACTCAATTATTCTTTTTTTAAATCATATCCAATTTTATTTTAATTTCATTGGTCTCTCATCGTTATAAAAATAACATAAATATTGATTTAGTATTTTTATTTTTTAAATAATGATATGATATAAAAAATGATTAGATGACTAAAAAAGAATAAGTGACTAAAGTGTAGTACTAAAAGGTAGTTTACCATGTGGTAAACTATATAATTGGTCACCAACCTTTTAGACTACTTGCATTTTAATCTTCTAACATTTAAAACTTCCAATTATATCATTAAACTTTTAATTCGCTTTCGTTACAATAATTATCATCGGGTGATGTTAAGAAATGTTAATATGACACGTTAAATTCTTCTTCTTCCAAAAACAATATCCAATTTTTTTTTTCAAAATTTAGCAACCAATGACCTCCTTCTATTTGTATTATCACAATCTCATGTTCTTTCGGTCGTTGTCGTCACTAAACATGTCATCCACCATACTCAAGTGCTTCATCAAATTCTCACAATCATTGAAACATTCATCATCATCACTTTATTCAAGTCCTAAACACCAAAATCATTATCCATGAATAGATCAACCCTAAGCCACGATTAATAATCTCATTTGATCACTCTCCAAAATCAAAACAACCAATAGCAATAGATAGTAAACAACAATAGTAAGAAAGGATTAAAGAGAAAGGAAAACGAAAAAAAAAAATCATCCAACTTTCTTAAAGTTTTTTACGAACGAAGGATTTATCGGTTGATCCTAATAATTGTAAGGCTCTATTTAATCAAAAGATTAATATAGTTCATTTTCAAGTTGAACTGTTAGTTGAAAATGACATACCTAAAAATTTTAACTTTTAATAATAATGAAAATAACTAAAATTCTAATATCTTAATACATGTTTAAAATATATGACGACCAAAATATAAATGTCCTAAAAGTTTAGTGACTATTTTTATAGTTTATCCTAACAATAATTAAGTTAATATACCACGGCATTTTATTATTATTATTATTGTTGTTATTATTAGATGTTTTATTGTTTTAAAATATTCAATTATATACCGACCGAAGTTGGTTCAAGTGGTAAATAGTTTGATTTCGTTTAAGGTCTCAGGTTCGAGTCCTTGTGTATGTAGAAAATCCCATCTGGAAGACTCATCCACCAAAACTAGTGTGCGATGCGGATCGAGCCATATTAGTTAAGGCAAAACCTTGAAATCGGGTGGGCAACCAAAAATATATATTCAATTATATACAGTTTTTATTGCAATCAACCTCTTGATTTCAAAGCAATGTTTTAGTATTCTTTATCTTGCATATGTAACTTAAGCATGTGTAGTAATTTCTCTACTCGGATAGTAATTTCAATATTTAATTTTTATTTAAGTCATCATCTAATTAAGTAAATGAATAGATTTATTGGGAACTAAGGAGACATTAATAGTTGTTTAACAAATTAATTTGAATAAAATACTATTGAAATTTAGGGCGTCTTTCTAATCTAATTTATTCTATTAACAACATCAAACTTTAAATATGTAATCTTACTTAGGGATATAATATTTATCCTATTAGACTGATCGATTGTTTGTGATTACAAAAGATTTTTGAATGAGTCACCTCCCAACATAGAACTGAATCTTAATTAGCTGATAAAAATAAATTAAAATCAATTATTAAAGAGATTAAATTATTTAAATTAAATTATTTAAAGACTTGTAATTATTTAATAATTTAATAATTTTTTAACAATGATACTGACGTATTATTATAAGATAATATCATTTTATCATTGATTTTTTTAAATATCATATCATTAGTTATATTAATTTTTTAATAATGGGTGACCAATATAAAACCAAAACATAACATTAATGATGATTTTTTTTTAAATTAATTGCATAACCGAAACATAATAATTTCTTAAATATCGACATTTAAATATGTATCCACGCTAAAATTTTATTAAAATGAAGAACCTACACCATAATTTCTTTAAAAAAAAATCATTTTTTTTCTAAAGATGAATTTTTTTAAACATGTATTAAATACTAAAACATCGACAAAAAAGATGAATTCCGACAACATAACTTGTTCAAAACATTTTCAAACAAAGTCTATTGCTTCATTTGCAAGAAAGTTCCAAATTAATCACTAGCAGGTTTTAGTGTTCTTCACAAGGCATTGGTTCTCTCTTTCATCTTCAAACACTGAACTTGTCAACCTGGCTATCATGTCCGGCATTATCATCCACCTTCGGTAACTCGGTCGCTTGCTCAACCGAAATACCCGCTGCATCGACATTACCACCTACACCTGCAACTCCAGGTTCTTCCATATCTAAATCTTTGTCAGCTGTTTTATCATCTTCAAAGTCACTTCCATCAGAACTGCTATCGTTTTCCGGGGTTCCAGCGGACTCACAGCCTTCAGCATCTTCTAGTTTCATATCCGCTTCGGCCATTTCTACGTCTTCTCCGGGAAGTCGTTGCTCTAGGGGCACTGAATTGCTTGTAGCTTGACCTGTTCTTAATTTTTCTCTGTAATCCTCCATCTCAATTCGATATCGCTCTTTATCTTCGAGAGCTTTTTCCTGATAAATCTGAATGTATGATACAAGCATAAGAAAACGTTACACGTTAAGAAACACATCACAAAAGAGAAAATACTGCTCTATTGCAGAATCTAATATGGCTCTTACAGATTTTTCTGATTCGGTCAACTTG